AACTGATGATGCACAAAAATGGTTTTGCACACCACCTGTCAAGTATAGGTAATAAATGCAATGAAATCAAGGAGAAAATTAAAGAAGACACAATTTATAGTGGTTCGGTCAATTCGACCTACGTCCACTCTTCAATGGCTTCAGTTGCCGGGTATTTTATTGATTCAAAGGTATGGAGAATAGAGATACAAACTTTGAGAGAGAGAATGGAGAATCAAAGAAATAGTAATCTCCGGTAGTCGGTTCGTCCTCTTCGCTGCCCAGCCGTCTCCCTTCGCTGCCCAAGCCACTCCTCGCGCTGCCCATCTCCCCTTCGCTGTCCAGCCCTTCATTTTCAGCCTCAAAGTTGTCCAAGACAGCATTCGAATGCTCAAAACTAGCCTCCAAGTTCTCCAAAATGGTGTCTACTTCCTCCCTTTCTTCAACCTCCACCACTCCCTCTTCAATCGACATTGTTCACTTGAGAAGCTCAACTAGCAAGGAAGAAATCAAACTCTTGAAAGGATTCAAGGAGAACACACTTTGGCTTCAACAAAATGGGTAGGACTTGAGTTCTCAAAATTTTCAAGAGGTGGGTGTTCAACCTTAAAAATGAGTGAAATGGGTAACATGAAGAAGAAGACTATATTTATAGTCTAGGGTTTTTCAAAAAGAGGAAAAAAGCCCAAATAGAAAATTATGGGCCCTCTTCAAAATAAAGTGGCCAAATAGAAAATTATGGGCCCTCTTCAAAATAAAATGGTCAAATAGAAAGTTATAAGTCATTTTCAAAACAAAAAGGCCAAACAGAATATTATGGGCCTTCTTTAAAATAAAGTGGGAAAGACTTGAAATTTAAATAAAAAAAAAAAAATGTAGTCAATGCCTCCTTCTCCAAGTCTCCTTGGACATGGGGCATTGGGGGGCAAATGATGGGTTAAGCCCAAATAGTCCAATTTATGTGTTAAAGTTCAACCCCAGCTGAGGAGCCCAACCTCATTTTGATTCCACCAAGCTCAAGACAGTCCAAGACCGGTTAGACTTTTTGCTTAGCACGTCACCAAGAGGAAAGCATGGGAAGCTTATCTGCACCACCAAAGGAAACGGTCCAAATCCACCAAGTCCAAGACAGTTCAAGACCGGTTAGACTTTTTGCTTAGCACGTCACCAAGAGGAAAGCATGGGAAGCTTATCTGCACCACCAAAAGAAACGGTCCAAATCCACCAAGTCCAAGACCGGTTAGACTTTTTGCTTAGCACGTCACCAAGAGGAAAGCATGGGAAGCTTATCTGCACCACCAAAGGAAACGGTCCAAATCCACCAAGTCCAAGACAGTCCAAGATCGGTTAGACTTTTTGCTTAGCACGTCATCAAGAGGAGAGCACGGGAAGCTTATCTGCACTACCGAAGGAAACAGTCCAATCTTTGACCATGTTTCATGAAGAGCTCCCCAACCTCCTCCTTCCGTTGAGAATAAGTCGTGATCTCCACCAAGAATAATCTTTTAGCTGCGATAAAGAAGCCTTGAGGATATGTCACGATCTCCACCAAGAATAATCTTTTAGCTGCGATAAAGAAGTCTTGAGGATATGTCACGATCTCCACAAGAATGATCTCTTGGCTGCTATAAAATAGCTCCAATCTGGTAGAAAAAGGGATGAATGTCACGCCCCACCAGAGACTGACAGAGGACGAACCGACTACCGGAGATTACTATTTCTTTGATTCTCTATTCTCTCTCTCAAAGCTTGTATCTCTATTCTCCATACCTTTGAATCAATAAAATACCCGGCAACTGAAGCCATTGAAGAGTGGACGTAGATCGAATTGACCGAACCACTATAAATTGTGTCTTCTTTAATTTTCTCCTTGATTTCATTGCATTTATTACCTATACTTGACAGGTGGTGTGCAAAACCATTTTTGTGCATCATCATATTTGACTAATTGAATTTAGATAAAAATCTCATGTTGGACTAGGATATGAAGAATTTATTTTTTATGAATATTCTAGTTTTAACATGGATGATCTGTCTTTGATTGGATCAAAAAGAAAATCAACCGAGATATGTAAAAGCAGACTCGAACAATCCTAATCATTTAAAAACAAAGAGAGAGAGAAAGACCTATTAAATATGATCATACAAAATCTCTCAAGCAAGGGGGTTAGTTGCCCTCCTCGTGAGGTAAGATTTGTTTTTATTATCTGATTGTACCTACGACTCTTAAAAAATGAAAAATAAATAAATAATAACGATGATCATCAGGGTGGGTTTTCTAGACTGATACGTAAACATATATAGAGAGTCGTTGGCACTTACCGGGAGACAAAAAAAAAAAAAGAAAGAGGGAGAGAATGAGAGAGAGGGGATTGTTGGAGTATGATTGAGTGTTGGTCGTACTAAAAGTATGCTAATGTGTAGTCAAGTCTGGAATTGGTGATAATTTAGTGTCAAGCCTCTAATTAAAGAGAGAATGTTATATGGCATCATTCACGATATGTTACTGAAAATTATAATTTTTTAAAATTAAATTATAATTTTTTTGAGGTGTTACAACTTTTAATATTAAGTTACAACTAACTGTGGAAAAGTTAGAATTGCTCAAAGGAAATCCATGAATGATCATAAGTATATATTATAACTTCTCATTTTAAATGTATAACTTTTCTATCGGTACGGTACCAAAAAAAAAATCGATAGCATAGACTTTTCCTTAATCTAAGTATACTAATATTTAGTCATGTTTGGAATTGGACACTAGATCACGTAGAGTGACAGTGTTTTGAGAGCGTTAAATTATGCATATAGACATGTATTTACTGATAAAAATTATAAAATATAATTTGAAATATTAATCTCCAAATACAACTATGTGATAAACTATTTAATTTTTAAATATGTGTTAGTTATAAGGTCCCAAAATGGCATTCATAAATTATAAATATTATTATAGTTTAATACATATCTATACGCATGGACTTGCACCTGCAAAATAAGAATTTGAATAATAATGAGTAAATACAGAAACAAGTGAGGGACGAATTTATGAATTGATAAATTAAATTCGTGAATTTATAGAGAATATGCTCTCTAGGTGCAAATTCACTCAAAGAACACCGAAGCGCGGGTGGTTTACCCAAATTATGTGACTAAGGCTGGAAGTGTTGAGACGTCATTTACGGTTGAACTCAAATTATAAAATCTTTCGCTTAAACTCCAATTCAATTCAAGTACTATAAGGGTGTGTTTGTTTGGGGGATTGCTATGCATGGGATTGAGAAATGTTTTCCTTACATTTCCAACACCTATTGAAAGCAGTACCCTTAATAAAAAAATAATGCAATTTTATCTCATGTTTATTTGACTAATATATATTATAGTGGGTTCCACAAAAATTTTCTATTCTATCACTTCTTATATAGCAAATATGCATATTTATCCCTAATACCATCCATTCCATGACTTCATTTATTTATAGTTTTTGCAATATGTTTGGTATAATACTTGTTATGGCAATTCATACCCAAAAATCATTCGCTCTTCTCTAAAATCCACATGAATATTCAATACTCCTATTCACACACATTCTATCAATGCACACAAAACAAAGAAATTAAAAAGAACATACAAGTACCATTACCTATTCCCGTAGGGAAGATCCCCAAAATTGACTATCCATAGCCATAGTAAAAATTAATTACACAACCATTATATTACATAGTGATGTACAACAAGAATTACAATTTTTCATAATTTATTTTTCTCTTTTATTTTTATTATTTTGTTAGGGTGAAATTTTAATTAGAAATATTCTAGAGTTATTTGCTGCCTAAATCATGTTAATTTTCTTAATTAATTAGATATGTGTTTATTTGTTTTTAGAAATTTTCCTAAGATTAGGATTTGTTTCCATTCTAAAAAACTTAGGATTCTAGTTTTTCCTGTAAATTGTCATATGTATTACGAGTCTATGCAGTTTTATTAAATAAGATACATTTTTCGGAGTTTCTTGGTGGATTCAGAGTACATTTGTCCTACACACTTAGAATCATAGTGTTCTTCGTATTTTTTTATTCTGCTGTGTCAATTGGTATCAGAGTCTTAATTAACCTGACATTATTTTTAATCAGCAAAGTGGTGATAACTTTCCTCGTAACTGTGATTACGTGGAAAGGGCTCTTTCATGAGTCAACTTTTTTAGTTCTCGACGTTCGTCCCAGCAAGCCTATCAAGAGTTCCATGATCCAATTGCTCAATTGACGTTTGGAACGAACCAGGATCCAAATTAGAATAGGGTTTGCAACAATGATAGAGCTCGTGTTCGAACTATTTGAGATCTCCATCGTATTCTCCATAAATGATAACATATATATGATTCTGCTTCTGTTGATGATGATGAGTATGGTACATGTATGTTTGATAGCTATGATAATGCTAGATATCATCGAAGACATGATTTTGATTCTAGAGATTTATTTATGAAAGTTACCAAGTTTTGATGATTATGTTCATAAAGAAGACTTTTTAAATTGGTTGGCCAAAGTTGAAGAATTCTTTGATTATCATGAAATTACTGAAGAGATAAAAGTAAGTTTAGTGGCATACAAATTGAAGGGCATGGCTTATCAGTGCATGTAAAATTATCACGTACAAGTTAACAGAAATCTAATGTTTGTTCTTGGCAAAAGATGAGACGCTTGTTAAAAGAAAGATTTACACCTTCATATTATGATGAGGACTAATCTATGAGACAAACTTTTTTAGGTTATAATGGTTCTTCTATGATTCCAGTCTCATATCAAAATATATTTCGTGAGGAGTTTTAAAATACTTTGTTGGATTAGAAAATTAAAGTAGAAAATAATGAACCTAGTGAGGAGATTGAATATACTTATGGTGATGTTAGGGAGCCTCTTGAAGGTTGTCAACATAAGAAACTTGAAAATAATTATACGTGATTTTATGAATTCTGAGGAGAACAAAAACAACAAAGTTTTAGTTGATTTTTCAGCAGCCACAGCCAGACACCCAGGCACCCAACAGCCACAACGCCCAACGCCAACAGCCGCACCCAACACCAACGCCCTAGCACGTGCTCCCTTGCCAGCACGCCCTCGCCCTATCCCTCTCCCTTTTGCATCTTTGTCCTCGTCCACACACCCTAGCACCAACGCCCAAGCCTCGCCTGCACACCAACGCCCAAGTCTCGCCTGCACACCAACACCCAAGCCTCACCCACACACCAATGTTTGCGCCTATTGCTGCACCTCACTGTCGCTAGTGCCTAGGAGACCCAGCGTCGTTTTCTCCTCAACTTTTGCGCTCTCTCGCCCATACTCGGCCTACTAAAAAAATACCCATGAATTTTTACTGATGCCCTATCCCCAAGTTCCATTGGACTCTGGGCATGGGGATAAATAATGGGCCCAGCCCAAATCAGGTCTAGAATTACATATCAGTCCCATAATTGCATACTAGGTCTAGACCACGGATGCTAACCAACAAAAGCCAAGTTAGAATTTCAATTGAGCCAAAGCCCACATTCCTGAGAAACCCAGTCTGTCACCAACGCACGTGGGAGTCTTCATCCTAGAGGGAATCCATAAGGATGCAATTATCAAGGACACATCGACAGTCTCGCAAGGGCGAGTTTCAATAAATCACCCTGCTATCACCTCGCCCGTTACGAGGATAGGGCGATTTTCACGGAATCACCATACTCCTTGTTACGAGGATGCTGCCTCCATTAGAGCCCTTTGGGGCCAACTTCACTTGCATATAAATTGTAAGTTTTGCCTACACATGGAGGGCATCACAAACACTTAAACACTACACTCTTGAGCAATAAGATTTTTCGGCCACCATAGCCTTTCCCAACCAAGTAGGTCACCTATATCGAATCCACCCAATCTTTGTGCTTGCATGTGTTAAGCCCTTACTTCATCCATTGATTGATTTTGCATAAACACTTTTATGCATCATCAAATAACATTAAAGTCTTCTAATGATTTGGATAGAGGTTTTAATAAATTTTAAATTTGTCCCCTCAAAAAGCTCTCATACACTTGATCTATTTAATAATGATCCATATATATTTGGATTAAATTTTTTAACTCTAAATTTGTAGTTTGTAGGGCCGATCACCATGTGTCCAAGAAATTATTTTAGAGTTCTTTGTTTCATTCCCTATATTTTTCACTCTCCCTCTCTTACTATCGTTAATTTGGATATATTGAATCTTAAAATATAGAAAATACTCGAAACAATTGTAAATGTAAGATTCCTCAATTGTGATATGGGTGGCAAGTGTACAGGTGGAATACTATCCTCTCATATGCAGGTTAATATTGTGTAATCTAAACTTATCCAAACTTTACAGCGGCGAGAGTCAGTGTATTGGATCATCTTTTTTTAATTTATTATTAGGTAATTATTTTAGTCTACTGTTGTTAAAAGAGAAATACTATTGGAACCTAATTTGAAGAACTAATTTTTGGATCTAATATATGTTGTTTGTGGTTTCCCAATATAGCAAAATTACTTATTAAAATATCTTATTTGTATCATGCAAATTAGAATAAAATAGTAACAAGTAAGAACAAAGCAGTAACACATAAATCTATAATTAAAAAATATATAAACTGATTTATTTGTAGATCAGGAATTGTTATTGAAATTTATGTAAATTAATGCTAATGTTTGACACTATATCCTTAAGATAGATTCACCCCCACACTTGGTGCTTATAAAAATCAAAGCATCTGTCTTTTAAGATACATTATTTTCACGCAATTAAAAGTAGCACTTTAATTCAATTATCCAGCAAATCAGAAATTGTGTTGTGTACTCTCAAATATACAAGGTGCTTAATGCCAAAATTTTGAATGCTAATGATTACCTTTATTCGTAATGTAACTTATGCAGAATGGTAACAAGTCTGGGTTATTTAAAGACAAACTAGTGACTGTTCTGGATAGCCATCATGCTAACAAACGCAACCCATAAGACACATGTAGACTAGAAGAAACCATTGAATAACAAACAGAAACAAAAATTCAGAATTCGGAAACAGACTCAAAATTCGGAACTAGAGGAAAACAAAAATTCGAATCAGTGTGAATTTTAAATCCAACAAAAAGCAGAAATTAAATTTCGAACAAAGAAATTCAAGTCCAATTCATTAAACAAATTTTATCCAAAAAGATAAGGATAGGTCTAAACCACACCTAAACCCGAGCCCGGCACAGTCGTGGTCGTGGCATGCGGGCGATGCGCATGTGTAGTCAAACCGAAGGCATGTGGGTGTTCGTTCTACTTATCAAAGTGTAGTAACCCTTGGGGGCCCAACTCGTAGAGATAAGTTAGCATATATAGGCCCAAGTAGAATTTCATCCTCAACTAATGTTAGATTAATGTCAAATCTCATATTGCACAACCTCTATTTTGGAATTCCAAGAGGGTCGCTTTGGCATTGTTTGAGATTTGAGATTTGAGATTTCAGTTCTTATTGTGGGAGAAGCAATGGGGAGATGTGTGGTTGAGCGGATGAGGGTGGAACTGCTAGAATTAGAAGAATCTGTATTTTTTTTTCTCATTTTTATATTAGTTGGAGTTGGATTATTTATAAATTGAGATGAAATTGAGCCAAATATATTTAAACTAAGTGATTGGTTGATGAAATTAAAAGAAAATTCATCTGTATATTGATGAAATTGTTTGATTAGTTTGCGAAATTTTTGTTCCAATTAACTAATTCATATTGGGTCGCATTATCGAATTGGATATTCAATTTCTAATAAATTCATATATGAATTAGAATTTTTGATATCCGGCCGATAGGGGTAGAGCCAGGAATTTGTCTAAGGGAGGGGCCAAAATGTAACTACAAAAAAATTCACCATCTAACGCACACCCAAAAAAAAAAGTTCAAACACGAAAAAATATATTAAAATTCAAGGCTAAATTAATATATTAAACAACCAAACTAGTTTTCATCTAGTCTAAACAAAATTTGAATAAAAATTAGGACTAAATATGCATTTTTTTTAAAACTAAAAGGGGACAAATGTAATAAATTAAGAAAAATTATGATTAAAAAAAATATGGCATAAATGAAGAAGATCCAAAATTGAGGGGGGTCAATAGTCCTAATGTGGCTCCACCCCTGCCGGCCGATAAACAAATTCGATTCAGTCAATAAACGAATTCGTTTCAGCATCAAATTTTTTAGATAGATTTAGATTTCAATAGACTTAGATTAAATCAACAGTTTTTTTGGAATAGCCAAGTCTGCCTACTGACTTGGATTTTATTACAGAAATAAGGCCAATGGCTCCACTCCATATACACAAGAAGGAAATGAAAATTGCGAAGTTTCATGCCCTCTATGTGAAGGAGGTCTGGAATGCTTATTATTTTTTTTGTCTATGGACTGAAGATCCTCAGTTCACAATATGATAGGTAAACAGAGTCACACTAATGATCATGGAACCTTTTTACTGATAGTTTTTTCCTACTGGAAGATGCTGAACACTTCTCTTCATCCACCGTGGTAGCAGAGGTGGGATGCTTTGTTCATTCCTGAAAAAATTGTGGGGATCAACCAAGGTCTTTACGGATACCAATCTTTTGAAGTTGTTCTTATAATATTTAGTACCCCAAACACTTGCCTGTGTGTAGCTTGTATTGCCTTCGTTGTTAACTCCTATATCAAGATCCCTATAATTAATATATGCTTCTCTTGGATTCTGGGAAACATAAGGAGCCATATATTCGTAAAGCTTTCGAATCCAACTGATATGCCTCTCCAAAGCTGCTGTCCCTTCTTCTTGCCACCCCACTTGGTACTCAATGTGGTATATGTTTCCAGCCCTATGAGGAAAAGGTGTTTCAGATTCCGAGATCTCGCTCATCCTCCCGCCATAAGCAGTAAATGCCATTAATGGCACAGTAACCTCTTCTTCATGAAACAGTTTCCATATTCCTTCCAACCCACTTTCAGAAATGGGCTCCTTCACATAATCTGATTTTATTTTAATATTTGTTCTATATGCAAAAGTCCTATTCAACAAACTGTCAATCGGTCCTCCATCGTAAAAATATAGTGCGGATTGAATCCAACTCATTTCAGTACAATCTTCTTTCACCACACCCAACTCAGGAAAGACTTCTTGCACTAATGGTAATAAGTTATCAACTCCACCAAGGAACAATGAACGGAACATAGCTTGTATTGTTCTGTTTCCTTCTTCACTAGAATTCACACTTGTTAAGAAGACTCTGATGGCAAGATTTTCATCAAGTTTGTCTGCAATCTGTTGCCATCGATGAACAAGCTTGGTTGCATTCTGTTCCAAAGTTCTGACTACTGTAAAAACAGTAATAGTTTCGGGAACACTAACTAAATTTACTTTCCATGCCAAAATGACCCCAAAGCTGGCACTTCCCCCTCCCCTAATAGCCCAAAAGAGGTCTTCACCCATTGACTTTCTATCAAGAATTCTACCATTGACATCAATTAATCGAGCATCAATGACTTGATCAGCTGCAAGACCATACTTACGCATCAACCAACCGTAGCCTCCACCACTGACATGTCCACCAGCACCAACGCTAGGACAAACACCTCCTGGAAAGGCAAGTGTTGCACTCTTATTTGCAATACTATAATAAAGTTCACCAAGAGTTGCGCCAACTTGAACCCAAGCCGTGTTGTCTTCAACATTGACAGAGACAGATTGCATATTTATTAGATCAAGGATGGCAAATGGTAGTTCAGAAACATAAGAGAGGCCCTCATAATCATGTCCTGCACTTCGAATTCTTATTTGTATATCATGTTTTCGAGAACAATATATAGTTTCTTGAACATGAGACTCGTTTAACGGTGTGATTATGACAAAGGGTCGCGGGGTGCCAAGTGTAGTAAATCTAGAGTTTTGTGCTGAAAAATCCAAGACAGATAAATATGAAGGGTTTGTGGGTGTGTAAATCACCTGGGAGATTGTGGAGGAGTTTTGAAACTTATTGTAAAGACATTGAAGAAAATCAGCACTAGCATAGGCTGAAGTTGCCCATGAAATTGAGAAGAGAAAAAGAAAATGAATTGAAAGCAAAGAAGCTCCTGGTTTCATCATTTTCATTTGGTTTGCAAAACATGAGAAAATGCAGCTATTTATAGCAATTCAAAGGTAAATTCTTCCTGTTATTTTTGGTTCAAAATAACAAGGCGTGTTTGATCTTCATTGACTAGTAATCAATTGCCCAAATTCAAATCAAACTGTTTTTTAAATTCACGTCTATTTGTTCTGCCCGACTATTTTGAATCTCACTTTAAACCATT